ACACTCAAGTATTGGCATGTTTCAGAAACCCCGGGGGGGGGGAGGGAGGAAGGAAAGGGGGCGATGGTTCTTGATGAAGTGGGTTGGCGTCATCCTAATAATAACCTTAGAACGGCTGAGCGGGACGGGACCATCTGGATCATCGAGTCCAGAAAAGAGGGACAGGGAGAGGATTCGAATTCCCAACCTCCGGCTCGGCAACCAGAGACCTTAACCCCCCCCCCGAGCTCTCTCGGGTCCTTTAACACTCTGTGGTTTTAAGATGATGATTTGAGAGCCGAGATGGGGAACCGATTTCCGTGATGCCCACTGCCGCCTCCAGAAGCGGGAAAACCTCCCTATAGAATTACAGGCCCGGAAGGGACCCCCAGAGGTGAGTGAGGCCAGGCGCTTGACGCAGGGAGGCATCAGCTTCCTCTTCCGCCCTACGAGGATCACGAAAACCCACCAAGCCGATCCATGCACCAAATGGGGACGTGACGCGTCTGAATTTGAACCCGGGGCGCCTTTCTCAGCTCGAACGCACCGGAGCGGTTCATGGCAGGCGGCTGGTGGGGGCCAAGCGGCAAACCATCCATTCCTAGCCTTGTTTGGCGAACGGGAGGCCAAAATCCTTGCCGAATTGGCACACACACACAGCCCTCCCAGTGAGGAACCAGTACGTCTGGGGCCCATCCCTGGGTGGGTCGATGGGAGGGGGGGACACCCGGGATGGATCCGGTCAAGGGGTGCCAGAATCACAGCCCCCCTCCAAGAGGTTTTTCAGGGCCGCCTGGATAATTAATGAGCGGCTTTCCCAGGGCTGTATATTTTTTGGGGGGGCGAGAGATGTCACCCCGACCTCTTCTACTGGCCAGTACGGCTTTTGTAGCTAAATCTGAACTTTTTCTTTAAAAAAGCCCTCTTCCTGTGTCATCGTCCACCTGCAAAACCCAACAAGGGGATTTTTTGGGGGGGGGTCAGCTGGGCTCCCCGGGACATCCTTAAAAGGCGCGCTCCAGTTGCCGGGCCTGCCGAAGCGCTCTGCGGGACCCGGAGGCCGGCGGGCTTCCCTCCTCGCCTCCGGGGGGCACCACCTCTCCCTTGCTTGGCTCTCCTAAATTGTAAAATATATATATATTGGAAGGGCAAAGAGCGGCCGCGTCCCTGCCCGGCGGCGCTCTGCACGTGCCCAGAGGGCTCGATCCCCGCCACCGCGTCCTCCTTTGTGCGTCCCCGGGAAGGGCGAAGGGGGGGCGCGCCTGGGAAGCGCCTGTGCGCCACCGTTGCGCGCCCGCCCGCCTTCCTCCCCCCTCTGGGTCTCTCCCCGCCCCCGCCGATCGCGAGGAGGAGGAAGAGGAGGAGGAGGAGGAAGGCGAGGGAGGGAGGAAGGCGAGGGCGGCGCCCGGGAGCGCGGACACGCGGGGGCGGGAAGGTTG